CTAATTCTAAACTTAAACTAATTTAATTGAATTATTGTCATATTCAACTAATTCAAAACCAAATTAAGCTAATTCTAATCCATTATACTAAATCATAGATTCACAAACCCTAAAACCCAAAATTCGCAAAAATTTAGTAACACTAAACCATTTATTCACAAACCAAACACAATACATAATACATCTATAGTAAACCCTAGAGATTCAAACAAAAATTCACACCAAATTTCGCAAACAAATAGCAAACTGAAATCAAAAGGCCTAACCTTGTCCCCGCTTCATATTTGTAACGAAAACCTTCGACGAGCCTAGCCAGAAACACAAAATTTTCAAAAGAGCCTTCTTCTTCTTCAGAACTAGTTAGTCTCCTTGATTGTTCTTCTCTTGAGTAGTTCAAGTGTTGAAGAAGTTGAAAAGAAGAGAATATGAAGAAGCTGAAAAGAAAAGAAGTGGGAAATGAACCTAATAGGATCTAAAATAACACGGAGATAACATATTGGAAAATTGTAAACTAATAATCCCACCTTTAGGTGGTCTTCCACAAACAATCCCACCTTTCTAAAATCCAGAAACAATCCCACCTATTCCCCCTATCTTCCATTAACGATCCTTTTTACAGGTTACCCCTTAAACCGGTGAACCTATTCTATTTCCCTCCCTAAATTCTTTCTTCTCCAACGGTTTTCCCCCCAAAAAACATAAGTTTCGCCATTTTTATGAAACAAAGTAACAATTAAAAAAAAAAAAATTAACTTTCAGAAACTTATCTTCATCGAAAGGACTGCAATTGTTCATTGATTGAAGGAAATTAAGGTCCTTAGCACAACAATTCAAGGTGGGCTAATTAGAGGTAAATTTTCGACAAACCCTAGCTTTCTTAAATTTGCAAATTAAAGCAATTAAACGAAGATAGCTTCGATTAACATAGTGAAGAGTAATTTAACTAGTTATTAACATAGTGAACAGCTTTAGGATCTTCAGACTCAACTACATCTTTGTAAAGCTCTTCAACTCCCAAACCGTATTCATTTTTCACTGCAAATCTCACCAACGGCATCTTCTTCTTCAACCCCAGAAGATAACAGCTACGACGCCGAAATGGGGATAACCCCAGATGATTTTAACAAGAATTGATAAAACCCCATATGAAATTAATGGGGAAAACAGAAATTAAACTAACCCCAGATGATTTTTATGGGAAAATACAGGAATTCAGTAAACCCCATATGATTTTAATGGGGAAAAATAGAAAGTAAACTAACCCCAGATGATTTTAATGGGAAAATACAGAAATTGAAGTAACCCCAGATGATTTAAATAGGGAAGAATAGAATTTGAAGTAACCCCAGATGAAACTAATAGAGAAGAACAAAAATTAAACTAACCCCAGATGAAATTGATGGGAAAAACAGAAATTGAAGTAACCCCAGATGATTTAAATGAGAAAAACAGAAATTGAAGTAACCCCAGAAAATAATTTGTTAGGGATAAACAGAAATTGAATGAATCAAAAAGATGGTAATGATGGATTACTGTACGAAGTGGGGAAATTGATTAAGATTTAACAAACAATGCAATAAATATGAGAAGAAGAGAGAGAAAGCAGTAGGTAGCAAGAAAGGAGCAGCTGAACTGCAAATTGAAGGATGGATTTGTTGGTTTATAGTATTTGGAAAGAGCAAAATAGCAGAAGCAAAAGTAATACAAATTACTAGTTAAATTAAATTAGAAGAAACCGGTTGTTCTAAGCAATCTAATTTTTTAACCGGTTTCAATAGGTGAAGGATCGTTAATGGAAGATAGGGGGAATAGGTGGGATTGTTTCTGGATTTTAGAAAGGTGAGATTGTTTGTGGAAGACCACCTAAAGGTGGGATTATTAGTTTACAATTTTCCTAACATATTATATATTAGTATTTTTATATGTATAGCATAGTTCCAATACATACAACTTAAGTTTAAAGCCATGTGAATTTACCTCTTTACCCCTGTGTTGGGAAATTTTACCCCAGCAATTTGCTCGGCTAAGACCGGCTCATAATGTGGTGCATTGAATTAGCTTATTAGCACTTTGTAGTTTGCAGATTTGGTAAGCTCAATTATTTCCACACAATGCATTTATTAATGGGTCATTATTTCCCCTTCAAAAACACAAGACGTAATAGGTTTCTTATATGTAAATTTGCCTACAGATCAACTCTTTTTTCTCTTGGGACTAAATGGAGCTGAAAAAATAACTACAATCAATTGTTTGACTTGCATAACCTCAGTGACAGCAGAGATGGTATAATAAGTAGTTGTCTGATTACTTTTTACCAGCTTATGCTTTCTTATCTAATAAGTATTAATTGATTAAATTCACCTATTTAAATTATGGAAATTCCATCAAAAGTTCAATTGGAATGTCAAATATCCGAAAAATTATCGATCTCTGCCGTCAGGTAATATTTTTTATCGCCCTATTCAACTCTCAAGAATTTTCTCTGCTACATCTCACTAGCCTCCGAAAGTAGAGACAGGAATGACTATGTTAGCAAGCTTGTTGGACATAAATATGAGGCTAAGGCAATACTCTTTATTTTTTAATAGGAAGTGGGGTTACATAACTTTTACTGTTGCTGCAAATTCGATATATTTTTTGGTTTGTGTTTAAGAATATTGTAATTCATGTATCTTTAGGTGTGAGGGTAAAATGGTCTCATGATGATAGGGAACTTGCATCATGTGATAAAAACTGTACAGTCAGGTAAGTTGTGGGGCTTTTGTGATTAATGTTAGCCTCATTTACTTAAGGGTTGTTTAGAGAAAATTAGGATGCAATTATAACTCAAGTGATGATAATTTAGAGATCATAAGTGGTTGAAATAGTTCAGTTTTCACACACCATGTGACATTATGAGGTCAGATGATATGCAAATATTTGGTTGAAATAGATTTTTAGTTAATTGTAGCCTTCATTACTTAATATGATTAAACAATTGCCGCATTCGTTATTTAATATGTGATTAAATAATACGAAGTATTTAAGTTCTGGTAGTCTAGAATTTTTTATGAAATGAAATTATATTAAGAAATGATTACAGCCTTCATGTTTTAATATGATTAGATGATTTAACCCTTAGCAAATGATCAATATATCTTGTTCTGTATTAGCCTTTATACCTTCATTGTACAATTTTAATATACCAGGTTCTAATAGGGTTCCGTTTAGCTTGCAGTAGCTGTAATCTTGTAGTAGCTTCTATGATGCAGCTGGTCTCATTTACAAATTCTTCAATTTGTAAAGTGTTTAGTAACTTTAGTTATGAAATTCGGCGAATTTTATTGTAATTAGTATACTAACTTTCATGAGAGTTGGAGCAGGTTTATGATATAAATTTGCTCTGTTCTTGTTTAAATAAAACTAGTTGGTTATATTTAATATTTTTGTTTCACTTGAGGTATGACCCTGTTTAGTTCATGTTAATATTTGAACAATGACATTAGTGGATCTAAAAATCTATTAATATTGATATTGTTAGCAGGTTTGTATATGACACAATTGTGACGGGGTTGTCCCATAATAAATGGTTTTTGTAACAGGATTTTCGCCTTTTGTTCTTGGCTTCTGCGACGAGATTTTCGCCCGTCGTAATGGATTTTGCGACAGGATTTTTGCCCATCATAATTGGCTTTTGCAACGGGATCACAACTAAAAAAATGTTCTACGACGGCCCCCTTTAAGGACAGGCTCGTAACGGAAAATCCCGTCAAAAATGGTCTTTTATGACGGGTTTACGATGGGATTTCCAGTCGTTAATGGGATCTTTTTTGTAGTGAGAGAAAGAAAACCAGAGGAGCTCATAGGGAGGAGAGCATGAGAGAGAAGAGGCATGGGAGGAAAAAGAGAGGAGATCGAGAGAGAAGAAAGAGAATAAGGGGGAATGTGGGGGCAGCTAAGGTTTGTATTCTTCCTTTTTTTTGTAAAAAAATTATCGATGGCTTAAAAAAAGACTTTATCAATGGAAGAAAGCCATCGAAAAATATACCGTTAGCCTAACCATCGGTATTTACAAAATTACCGATGGCTTTATATTTTTACCGATGGATTTTAGTGGCCATCGGTATTTTCCCTTGGTAAATACGCGTATTCTTGTAGTAAAAGTCTCTGTATGTAAACCCAAAGTACCAAACATGACATTACTTTCGCCAATAATCCTATCGTCTAATGGATTAGCATTATCAAGGCATCATCCTATCTCAGCTTAACGAGTATCTTTGAACCAGGAACCATTAATTTGAAAAGTAACCAAAACATGCATCCTCTACTATTGTGTACCAAACTACGCTACGAAAAATCCAAGCGGGCGGAAACCACCATCATAACCAATGGCAAAAGCATATGTGTCGACGAAGAATGCATGTGTTTCCATAATATCGAAAACTTGTAAGCTGATTGGCTTAGTTCGTACAACCAAAATGGAAGTAATTGTGAAGTAGCTTCCATAAAAATAACTTCATATTCCAAATAAGTTGCCAAAAATTAGTAATGATATTATTAATAAAAGTATTACGAGGAAGAATTTGTCGTTAAAGGATTACACATCCCGTTTTAATTGAGTACCTCCCTAGAGAAGTACGAGACCAATATAAAAAAATATTCTTAAGTAGTGTCCAGCGATTCCATAGCCATCAGGATTGTAGAAGCATATGTAGGCATAAAGAATAGTAACACTCTATTTTTTAAAATCGTACCCTCTATTTTTAAAATTAGCGCATTATATACCTATTTCATACACATACTTGATTCCATATCTGTTCTTGTACAACCGAGATGATAACAATATTTATTTTCCTATTTACATTTTTAAAAAATTTGTTTAATTTTAAGTTTGCCACGACGTATAATATAATTACCAAGAAAATCTCAAAGACAAATTAAGAATTTCTGACATTAAAAAAAAAACCTTAAACAAATGTGAGTAAGAGTAAACGATAAGAAATTAGAAGTGTAGGACTCAAATACACAATCACGCAACACAACACAACGTAAAAAAACGTTAAAAAAAACAGACAATTCTCTCTCTTTCTCTTTCTCTTTCTCATTGTCTTTGTCTTAAAAATCACACCCACCTCCTAATCTCAACCGCCCATTTTTCTGACAATTTCATTATTTCCCTTTTAACTAATTTTCTTGTTTCATTAATTTTGAGTAAAATATACAGAGTACAAATTTACAATTTCTGAAACTTCAATCAAATTCAACAATAAAAAGGGAGTTTTAACTATTTTTTTTAGCTCAAATTTCCAACAAAAAATGGGCGAAGCAGCAAATTCAGAGAGAAACAATGGTAGTAGTAGAGATTCTTTTGATGGGTTTTCACCAGTTTCTTCAACTCGTGTTTTTTGGCAATCTCGTAAGAGGCGTGGTTCGTTTTCTCTCTCCTCTTTTTCTTTTTCTTTTTTTTTTTTAAAAAAAATATTTATTTGTTCATGACTAATTAATTGAAGCATATACAAGTATTATTTGTGTTTGATTAATTGTCTTTGATTCATTTTTTTCCTGAATTAAAAGGAACAAAATTTTCTATGAATTACTGCTTTGATTATGTCAAAATACTAGTTGAAAAAAAATTAAAATTGTTTGGAAAAATAGCTGTTGATTAGCTATTGATTAGCATGAGAAGTAAGATATTGCGTGAGATAAACAAAGACTTTGTTGGGTTTTTATGGGGATTTTCTTTTGTTTATTTATATCTTTTCTCCTTTGAAGGAGTATACGTATAAATTTACAATAATTTCAAATATATGTAACAAGCTAAGCTTAGCTAAGTCAAATTTGATGCAATATTAAGAAAAGTAATTCCAGCTTGAATTTGATTTTAATTTTGATAAGTATCGCCTTATTAAAGGGATTCTGTTGTTAGTCAAATTTTGTATGTTCAATTGCTGAGCTCGTTGTTTGGAAATACTATGCAAAGGTGGTCTTGTAGCTTGACACGCTTCATAGTTGTTGAAGAGTGGTTGTCTCATTGTTGGGGACTTTGATTTTATGACAGCGGTTAATTTTGGCACCAAACTTCAACACTTCATGTATAAGCATTGTCCACTTTGTTGCTTACTGTATAAGTTAGTTGCTTGGAAAGTAGGGTTCCCCACTTTGTTATCGTCTCTAGTTAATTTAGGCGTTATATCTTTGATTCGCGCTAGATTAGTTTGTTAAAGTGTTTAAGATGTTATTGTGGATTTAAATCTCATCTACTTCACTGCCTTGCTCTTTCTGTTCCATGAATGACTATGGAGTATCTGACTTAAGGTTATGTATACACACCGAGGGTAATAGTTTATAATATTTTAAATGAACAAACGGATGGTGCATTGTCGTCATATGTCCATGACCATTAAGGATTATTGGAAAAGGTTAGCTATGCAAATGTAGGGAGGAATTTGTTGTAAATTCTCCAAGATTAAAAGACAGTAATGTAGTAATAATTGGATTTTGAGATTGGAGATGATGATGTGATTTTATTATTGACTGCATGAGGAAAATAGGCTATTTTCTACGAAAAAAAGGATAAACAAAATAATTTTAAAGTTTTCCCCAATTACATCCCCATAGTGTTGGGAAAGGTTACTTTGTGTTATGTTGAGAGCTTTTCAACTATTAGCTCGGACTGACCTCTACAGTATTACAAATCCAGAAATGACACAACCTAACCTGATTTGGAAAATATTGGTGAACCTTTTTCTTAACTCTTGAAAATGCTCTATTGGTAATTGCTAACATTTTGCTGATTTTCTCTATATTCCCAAAATCTAGTTACTGGCTTAGTGCTCTACAATATTCCCCTGAAAGTTGTTTTTTACTCTTATTCAATGGGAGAAACATCAATTGAAATTATAAGAAAATTTTCTTAGTCTAACCCTTTTCATGCACTAACTTTGTCCATTAAGGCCTTATTCATTTTAACAGACTTAACTTGTCTACTACTATTTTTTTGAAAGCTAAGCTTATCTAATACAAAGTATACTCAAAATTAATTTTCGATGATTCACTGTTATGTAATATGACTGACTAGTGTATATATTAAAACTGAATTACACTGACTACTCCATACCAAAACTAATTTTCGATGATTCAACATAATGTAGTATGCCTAGTGTATGTTAATGATTAAAACTGAATTACACTGACTGCTTAATTTTTTTTAGTGACATTTTCCTTAAAACTTTGTTTTTCTTACCTCTGTTTTTTTGTAATTGACACACCTCTATTTGGAAACATTTTACTCTGTACTATTTTTAATTAAATCTCTCTTCTTTGGTCCCACTATTACAATTTAAATTATTTCTCTCTCTTTTTGGTCCTCACTTCTTCATTTTTTTTTTACAATATTCCTATCATCTAACGTCCTAATATACTTGTATAATTTTCCAATAAATCACACTACCCATGCACTCTATGCAGTTCTCCTAAAACTCCATGCAGAAGATAGCATGTCTTCTTTAAAAAAAATAGAGTTTTTTTTTTCTTCATAATTGATGTAAATTAATTAAAATTGATTTTTATCAAACTTAAGCAAGCCCAATATGCTACTGTTTCTTCTCATACATCATGACATATATAGTATTCGATGTTCACAGGGAGTGTTTAGTTTGGTGTAAAATGTTTTTTAGGCCTTTGGTTGGTATATGGGTGGAAATAAGTTTTCTCAATGGTGGAAAATAGCTCCCTCAAAGATAGAAAGCAGTTTGGTGAAAACTCACGTTTTATAAAATGTTTGATATTTGTTAGAAAGCAGAAGATGAATCAATTCCTTTATATGGGTCAACTGGAAATTTGTTCAATTATGTTTATAACCACAACAAAAGTATTTTGAGGAGGAAGAAAGAAGATACTAGCCTACTAGGTGTGCATTCCTGTTCAAAGGTGCTTGTTGCTATGCGTGTGCTTAACAGCTCATAGTGTATTTTAATATTGTTCTGCTTAAATTTGCTGAATGTTGAATGCACATGGTCTGCTTGATTGGCATTAATGCATGGGTGCTGTAACAATTGTTACTACGATGTTAGTTTCTGGTTAATTTTATTCCACAAGACTAGCTTCTTGTGACAGCAAGCGCACTGAATGTAACCAAGCCAAGAGATGAGCCAATGTTTAAAACGCCAACAAAACCAGAAACTTCAGAGGAAGAGAAGGCACCGGACTCGACTCCTCCAGATACTGTTCTTTCAGAGCGCAGAAAGGCTTTATTTGAACCGCTGGAACCTATTGATACTCTCCCAAGAAATCGACCCTCAAATGAGAGCTTGCTTCCTCCTCCAGATTTTGACGCAACAGCATATCCGAAGGGCTGGCTGATAGGTAAGAAGCGGAAGCTGGTAAATGTCGATGTTGTTGAGAGCATGCGGAGGATTGCCATCCAGGAAATGAATCGCAAGGTGGTTTTTCAAGTCCTTGCCCCTGTCCTATTAAACTCGTAGGAAAAAAAAAATTACCACTAAAATAGAGCTTGAAAATGCAATCAACAAAGAATAAAATTTACCAAGAGAGTACTCTCACATGAGAACTCGTACTAGGAAGAGCGTGTAATTGCGGCACAATGAAATATAGGAATTTATTCCCCAGCAAAAATGTCAAGTACTGTGATCACCAAATTTATAACTGGGAAAAAAAAAAAAAAAAAAAAAAAAATCTGAACTACTCTGTAATGTAAGAATGGTTTGACAAGGTAAAGCTATGTGTGCAGGATCGTGAAATTGATGGATTAAGTGAGCAACTAGACGAGGATTCTCGTGTTCTTGAACATCTACAAATCCAGCTTCTAGAAGAAAAAAGAAAGCGTTCAGATGTTGAGAGGGAAAATACAATGCTGCAGGATCAAATCAACATGTTGATGAACATGCTACAGGAAAATGAAGCTGCAGAAGAGGAGGATGCAAATGAGCCTTAGTTGGTTCTAGAAAAGTATTTTAATTCTTTTGTATAGTTTTTCCTGAAATTAAAACGTACAGTAGAGTGGTGTTAAGCAGCAAGTTTTAGTTGCTGCATGGAATTTACTAGCATTTGTTTGTTTGTTTGTTTGTTGCTATAAATTTAGATTAAATGTTTGTACGCTTTAATGATTTAAGGATAGTATGATGTACAATGTATTGTCGTCTGGTTTTGAGATCTAATGACAAAATATTGTGAATGTAGTTCTGGAGCTTTAAAGACAGATTTCGGTCTTTAAGTGCAAATAACAGTTTATGTAAATAATCCTTCTGTCTTGTTGATTTGTTCTTAGTTGTCCTTATTCTCTTCTCTCTTCAGTCTTAAGCTATCACAATTATTAACCATCATCTCAACATGCATGTTACATTATAAGGTTTCTAATTAAAGGATTTGTTAAGAGGTCTAATATGAACCATTATTATTTTAAGAAATGTCGTAAGACATCTGAACACTACATTACTACGTATTGTATATGCATTAATAATTTTGAATGGAGGGATTTATACTAGTTGTTTCGGATGAAAACAATCGAATCTCGGAAGATCCTTTTATCTTGAGGGAACTTGGTCTCGGTCCGAACGACGCAGGAGCCGAGGGTTTCCTGCACAACAAATACACGTAAACTAGCCTCGGGGGGGACGCCGAGGAAGGCCCCTCCGATGCTTAAGTCAGTATATTAGAGAGAGAAAGCTGTGCAAGAGTTTAGTTGCTTGAGGCTTTATTGTCTTACCAAGAATTGACCAAATTGTTGGCTTTTATACCTTGGCTAATGAAGGAGGCGGATTGGGCCCGGAAGTCAGTTGGGCTGGGCCAAGCTGATTGGGTCGTTGACTGACCTTGACATGGCTTTGAGGATGTTGATTTTTGACTTTAGCACATTTGGAGAGTTGAACCTTAACCTTGGGCTTTTAATTGGATCATTCAGTGACCAGGCCCAATTGGACTAAATTGGACCCAAACAACTTGCCCCCCAGACCCGATTTGGAAGGATGACGGGTCGGGTTTGATTTAATCAGAAAAGGAGGGAAGTGAATGATTTGTTAATCCAAAAATGTGAATTTAAACCGTAATTAACCCATGATTAATGAGATAACAACAGTTAATGTGGATAATTGCGGAAGTTGGACGGGTAGTGGGCGACTTAACTGCAAGGTCGTGTGTTTAACGGTTACTTAGTGGGGTGCTTGAGAGAAATTGAAACGCAGACTCCTTGAATTCCCATTTCTGGAGATATAAATAGAGGCGCGTCTTCTCTCCCCACTCATTCATCAACACAAACCCAGAATTCTCAAGAACGCTCAAGAGCCCGCATCAAAACTTCGCAAATTCCCCGAGCATTAAGCTTAGAAGCTGAGACTTGTCACTACCAATTCGTAAATCGGCGGCTTTTGCTTCAGATCAAGGTAAATTCCTTTGATTTTATTTCATCTTTCTTCGACTTTGCACTCTTTCCCCTTTTTCGACTTTTTCCTTCGAAATTCGTCAATGGTGAGGGGAGTTAGAGGTGGAGCCCGTGCTCCAAGAAGAGCAAGGCTAATCCCCGATCCCAGGGACAGGATTGGGACCTGGAATGGACGAAGGACAGAGTCTGACCCTGCTGAAGGGGTTAGGGCGACTCCCATTTCTTCGGCTCCTCCTCAGAGGGCTGAGGGGGTGAGCGCTTCAGGACGGGATGATGAAGTTCCCGCTGTCCTTTGGGATATCCTCCCAGGGTTTTCAGAGTGGGAGGATGCCGAAGTAGCTTCGGCCATGATAAAGAACCGCCCCTACTCATGGTGGGTAGAGAACGCCGATCAATATCGATTTGCCGAGCAAATTGAGTTGCACTACGGCATTTTTGAAGCTGATGGATATTGGTGCCGAATGCCCTCAGCATCCGATAGAATCCATCGTCCACCCCCGGGGTATGTGGGGGTGTACACGAGACAGCTTCAGTATGGGCTGAGGTTCCCTTTGGACGTTTTCGTCCGAGACTTGCTGATCCATTACAACATTTCCCTATGTCAGCTAACCCCCACCAGTATCCGAAGGGTGATGACATACTTATGGGTCTGCAAGTTCTTCAGATACGTGCCGAACCTGCACTGCTTCAGAAAGCTCCATCGGCTAGTGCCAAATATTCAGAGTGGGCACGGAAGCCATGGTTCTGGGTGGTATCGGATTGAGTCCCGGCCCCAATACTTGACCATGTGGCCAAATGACTCTTCAGACAAGGACTGGAGAGGTCAATGGATTTGGGTTAGGGCACCCACGGAGCCGAGCCACCCTTACGTTTTCAGCGCTCCCCGGTATCTTGCCGAGCCGGATCCTGATATGGGAAGTTTAGGTCCTCCCGAAGATAGCGGGCCAGACCCGAACCTTAATCAGCAGAACATCTTCGGCAAGCTGCCGAACCGGGGAGGCAGCGGCCGAATGCAGCATATCCCGGAGACTTGGCTCCCCGATACGCACTATGTTTTCCAAGAGAATATGCTGGCAGCTGTCGGCCTCAGCCGAAAGTTTAGGGATGGTAATCTTCTTCGGCTGGGGCCGAGGCCTTTTAATTATCTCTTTTCTTCTTTCATTTTGCTTTCTTGTGATGTGCCGAACTAACTGAATTGACTTCCCCCCTTTTCTTTTTCAGAACGGGACGAGACCAACGTCGGCATTGATTACGCTCGCCTTGGCGTCAACCGAGAACGAGTCGTAACTGATCGGGCTCCCCCTATCACTGAACCAAGGCGCCGAGAGGTTCACCTAGACTCTTCCCACTTCCAAATTGAGGCTGTTGCTCTGTATCAGAGGCAGAAGCCTTGGTGGAAGAAGAGAGATCCCTTGTTTCAGCTGCTGGAAGAAGAAGCTGAAGCTGCCCGTACAGCCGAAGAGGTTGCACGGGTTATTGAAGCTTGTGAAGGTGGAGAAGGGTCCTCCAGAGCTGCTGAAGCCGAAGCTGCAGCTAGGGCAGCTGAAGAAGACGAGGCTTTGCTGAAGACCTCGGTGAGCCTTTAGACTTCACTTTGTCTTTCTTCTTTTTTTTTTTTTTTTTTTTACTCACATTCTTCCCCCTGCCTGCCCTTTACAGTCTGAAGAGAGCAGCAGACACAGGGAAGGGAAAGCCCCTGTTCGTCCCGAAGACCAAGTACAAGAAGAGTCTTCAGACTCGGGTATGGACGAGCAGCCGCTTCAGAAGAGGCGCCGAAGAATGGCCATCATCGGCCCGCATGACTTTCAGCGGAGGCCGATGACCATCGGCGTTGAAATAAGGGAACCCGAGGAAGGCAATGGATCGCCGAGGGTTCCCCGGCCACCGCCTCAATCACCCCCAAGGGCCTCTCCGCCACCCCCCGAGATGGAGGTGGATCAGAGAACTCCCAAACCTAAGGGAGAGGTTCTGGAAGAAGCTCGAGAGAGTGCCGCCGAGGACAAGGATGGAGACGCCGTGATGCCCAGTGCTGAGGGTTTCACGGCGGACATTGCCAGAGAGGTTGGGGCCTTCGTCCTCACACCTGAAGAAGAAGAGGTCACAATAATTGACTCTTCTGAGAAGGAGGAGGACGTTGAGCCACCCAAAGCTAAAGAGGCTCCATCGTCATCCTTCCCTTCCTTCCAGACGCTGCAGTCTGGAGAAATGGGTTTCTCGGCCCCCGAATTCCAGTCCCAGACCACATCTGGGACCTCATATGGGGTCAGAACCGAGAAGGTGCTGCAGCCTACTTCGGCGATTTTGCTGGCCTGTCCGAAGTAGATAGGGCAAGGATTTGGTCGCTGAAGGCCACTGCTGGGATGGGTGAATCCAGCAGATCAGTTCCTGACCCTGCCAGGTCCAACCAACTGCTGATGATGCAGGTAATTCTCCTTGCCTTGATTTCTTTCTGAACTCAACCTTTCAGCTATTATTTTTTACTTTTTTAACTTGTGCCCCTGTTTTCAGTTCGTGCACAATCAGACTCTCACTGTAGAGCTGATAGATTCCCTACAAGATAGGGTGGACGCTGCCGAGCACGATCAAAGGGTAGCCGAGGAAGAGCTAAAGCTTGCTAAGCTGAAGCAGGCAGCAGCTGAAGAGAAGCAGCAGAAGGCTGAGGAGTACGAGAAAAAGGCTGCTGAAGCCCTCCAGACCTTCTGCGACGCTATGGAGAAGGAAGTTTTTCCCCCACTGATGGAAGGGGAAAAATTCCTCCAAGAGCACCTGGGGGTGGACATCTCCCAGTTCAAGGCTGCTATCGAGAGCCGAATCCAAGAAGGAGCTGCTGCACAGGCTGAAGTGCAGCATCAGCTAGAATCTCTTGAAGCCAGCAGAATGGCTGCTGAAGAGATGCTCCAAGCTAGGGATGTCCAACTCTCAAGGGCTGCTGCTGCTGCTGAAGCTCAAAGAGCTAAGCTACAAGAGGCTGAGGATCAGCTCACTGCCAAGAAGGAAGAAATGGTCCAAGTTCAGGCCGAGGCTTCCCAGGTTCAGCAAGAATTTACCGAGCTGAAAGGCTCCTCCTCCAAGCTCGTCGATGAGCTGAAGAGATCCGAGGAAGACTTGGAGGAGACGAAGAAGAAGTTGGCCGATGCTGAGGCTCTACTCAAAGTCCGTATCTATACCCAAGAAGAGTATGAAATGGGTTTTAGAAACGGGTTCAGAGTGTGCCGAAGGGTCTGCCTTCATGCTGAGCCGAAGCTGGACTGGTCCAAATGTGCTGAATGGGTCCAAGATCCCGAAGACCCTCACATGAAGTATGCCACTCCAATCGAAGCTGAAATCCTTAAGGCTGAGGAAGCCGAGGAAGAAGCTGAGAGGATGGAGTTGGAGGCTGAGCAGAGGGAAAGGGAGGCTCGGCAAAGTGCAAAGCCTGCTTCTTCTGCTGCTGGAGCTGAGACCACCATTGGGCCCAATGAAGCTGATCAGTCTGATCCTCAGGCTGAAGCATAGGAACTCGGGCAGTCGTCTTCAGAATCTTGCGGTTCATCATGCGCTCAACTTTAGACTTGCCGCTTTCTGAATTTTTGCCTTTTGTTTTTTTTTTGCTTCAGCTTGCCTTATCGTACAACAGCTTATTATATTTTTATTTTGCCTGTACGTATTTCGGCAGCTGTTACTTTCCGCTTGTGGGCGGCTGCCGACTATTTTTGTAATTCAACATTTTTATTTCAAAGAAGTTCACTTTCTCAGCTTTCTTGTGTATTTTTTTTTTCTTCGCTTTACCAGTCTTCGCACTTTACTGCTTTCTTTGAATGATCTTTCAAATATTTGCTAAGTGCAGAACTTCGGCTAGCGAGAATCATTTCTGCTGAGACTTCTTTTTGCCGTTTGTAC